AAAGGATGGACCACAGACAAAAACTTAGCACGGCTTTTCATGCGCACTCATGTCTTGCTGCTCAGTCTCAGTAAAGGAATGTAACTCTCCTTGTAATTTCAAAGCCACTCATTCAATCTTTTGAGTAATTATGGGATGACAGCTGATTATACCCTGAAAATGCTTGCTAACACTATTAATCTTTTGCTCGTATGGGCTGTTTATAGCTATAATTATAAATGAGTGAATGAAGCAAAGTAATTTCTGATTGGGTGGCTTGGGGAAGAAACTATGACTATAGCCCAAAGGACTCAGTGCTCAATAGCAAAAGGTGCTGAGCATCCAAGGAAATCAGCGGGGGCTCAGCACCCCCGAGGAGTGCCCAGCGCGTCTCGGCAACAGGCTGGATCGCACCCATAATAACAAGACTGGGGCAGCAACTCAAAGAAATGTCCTGATTGAAGTTGAGGATAAATTAAAGGGAGGCGACCAAAGAGAAAGTATTTTCAGACGGCGAGAGTAGAATTTCAGTAACATTTAGGCTGATTCCTTGGAAATAAACTGTCCATGGAAGATTTCTTATTAGGGTTGAAGTACTTAAGAGGCCCTTATTAAAGGCTTGCATACACATACTAAGTCAGGCAATGTGATGCACATTTTAATGCCATATTATTGCCAGATGGGCCTTTACATTCATATTGATGTATTTTTGCAAAAAATATACATATTTCTTTTTTTAACTTCTAGTTTAGTTCTAGTGTTTCATTGACTTGAGGTCAAATTAAAACAGCCACAAGCACCTAAACAAAATATTTCCTGTGACTGAAAATGATTTTTTAAGCTTTCTATAACTTTGGAATGTTCATTTCTATTAGTGTTATTCTATAATAACAAACTTCTATTTTCAGCTACCCCTGACTCATGTAAAATACTGATATAAATTGAATTTATAGTTCAAAACTAGTACTTTAGGTAGGAATTACACAAGATAAATTATTTAACTGGAAAAAATAAGCATGACTTACTAACTCAAAGGTGTTTAACTTATCTAATATCAAAGCTAAACTCAGGGTTACTACTTTGATATAATAAATTAGATCAGTGACATAACCACATGAAGTCAAAACCTTCTGTTTAATTCTATAGTTTGTATGCGCTTGAACCAGGCAGTGAAATCACAGCGGTATGGAATTGCCTCTCTAATGCAAAGAGAGGACAGATTTTATGAAACTAGAAAGATATTTGAGGGGAAAAGCTAGGATACAATGGGAGAGGGATTAATTTGTTCTTCATAACAAATGACTAATGACTGCTGCTATTGAAAGTACATGGGGAGCGACTGACTTTTGCCCAGACAAAATAGAATTTTGATTCTTATATGTCAAATTCATTACCTGTTAGAAAACTCTTTATGTTCTTTATTGAGGTAAGGGACTTAGGATCCTTGTATGATGATATTTTAATTCTTGGAATACTGCTACTGGTTAAATGTTGACAATTCTTTCTGTCCCATGGATTTCCACAGACCGATCTTGTTATTTTTCTTTTCTTTTGATTTTATTACTGTATAACAAACAGTTTCAGTGTTGCAAGATTAAGGAAGGAAGTTCCTGTGACCAGCGCTGCTCCTTTTTAGCATTTGTGGAAAAGGCATTCTAGCAGGGCTCCAGAATAAAAGAAGAGATTTTGAGGCCTAGATGCAAGGTGAGGTGAGTTCAAGGACAGACAAAGCACAGCAGGACCACAGACGATGTTCTTAAAGACAGTGAAAGGAAGAGTAGTTAGAAGATGTAAAAAAGGTCTCTTGAAAGAAGCTTCTGTAGTTTAGAAGGCAGATTCCTACGACAGGACCTAGTTCCTCTGGCTGCGGTGACGGGCCGGCAATGCAATAAACTATGCCTCTTTCCATTCCACGTGGCACCAGCTATATGCATGCTGAAATATAAAATTGTTGGTGGTTTGCGGAAGATGGAAGTTGCCAACCCCATGATGATTTCTTATAGACAATTAGGAAAGAGACTGGGAAAAGGAGGTAGGGATAGGCAGATACTGACAGGGAGTTACTGAGACTGCAACAGAACTATCTAAACATCTGAAGAATAGGCACTGAAGGAATGGAGATTGCTAACAATTCAGGAAGCTGTTGTCTCCCACCGAGGTCCTGTAGAATTTCGCCCAAATATCTGCCAGCTGAATTCCAGATATTACTGCTGATCTGTTGAAAATGCACTGGGTCTGAAAAAAAAAACCCTTAAGTTTGGCAGCTGATTGTGAGGTTACGGAAAATCACTTTTCATAGTGATTTGCTGAAGCGAGGACTGCTTGCAGTTGCTCCCTTTCTGGTTTTGCTCACTGTTGCTGGAGTTGTAGGACAAGAAAACTCCTTAGGCTCCCATGTTCAGGGCCTCACAGCTAACAGTAACAAACTCTCTCTCCTCCTCCATGCCTACTTAACCAAACTGAGTAATTTCTCATGAAGAAATGACCTTGTTGCAGAGGAAAATGAAGGTTTTATTCTTTATGAAAAAGGCTTGATAAAATCAAAAGTCAAAGGAGCGAAGAGTCACAACAGCAAGAATGTGAGACTGTTTCTTGGGAAATTTGTAGGAATTGTTTCCGGAGTTAACCTCTGTAGCATAATGTGCATGCACACACAATATATTACATGCTGACTATGCTATTATTTAAAATTATTTTGATTTGAGGGTGAGTTCCTACTTAGCAGTTCAGAGACTGAAGAGTTGAGTACGCCATAACAGCGATACAGTACTGAAGCAGCCTGCCAACAGCACCAGGAGAGCTGAAGACCCTGCTAACCACCAGCTGCCAGTTCAGGCCTTGAAGTTGGTATTTCTGGACAAAAGTAGCATTTCTAACCCAAGTGGCCTGTGGAGGCAGGGCGAGACAGAGACAGAGCCCTTGGGCACTGCACAGCTGGCGGAGCTCAGTTCTGAAGTTTCACAACCATTTTCCCTTCCATCGGCCAATGCCCAAGTGAAGCCTCTGGGGATAGGAGATGTCTTGACCACATCTGTCACTTTAAAAGCAGTATTTTGAGTAGCTTTCAGCTCTGTTTTCTCTCGGGGGGGGCAAAGCTTGCATTTTCTAAGAACAGTTAAAAATGAAATTAGCTTTCAAGAGACCAATGAAAATGACAAGAAAGTTTCTAGTCAAAGTCTGGGCTTGCACTTATAGGTAGGAGCTGTGTTTACATCGCAGTTCTTTCAACCTATTTTCCTCATACATTAGAAATCTCTTTGCCAGCTATTTCCTTTTCTTTTATTTTATTATTGCATATTTACAGCCTTCTTTCACTAATTCTTTTCATTCTTCTCTGCTACTGTTTACATATACTTTTTGATAACAAAATGCCTCTTAGGATTTCTCTCGAATGTTCCGTCTTCTTTATGCCAGTTGGTTTCCACCTGACAGCGCTGTTTTGGGCCCTGTGTATTAGTCTCTGGTGAAACTGGCTGCTTCTGACAGAGGTGAGGTGCGGGGCTGGGATTTATCAGAGCACTGTGTATGTACGTGACTCTCAGCTGCTGCTTTTACTCTTGATTCTCAAGGCTGAAGCTTTGTCTGCTTCCTGTCCGTGGGAGCCGTGACATCATCTCCATGGTATTCTGAAATGATGCCCAACGGTCCTATCTTTTTCCCCTCAGATTTTATTGAAGAAATCTGTCATTTCTTTCACAATTGATGGTATTATGTGTGTTCTACGTCTCCTATGATTTAATTTCTTCTTGATTAATTCTTATATTTTCAGCTTTGTAATTATGCTTTCTTTGTATCTCCAAGTGTTACTGTTAAGCTGTTCTGGATCTGAGGTGAAGTTTGATCTGTTGAGGATCTCTTTTGAAATGCTTATTTACCTGGTTTCTACCTTAGAACTATAGCTGTGATAAAGTAGCTTTTTTTTTTTTATGTTCATTTTTCATAGGCCAAATTTCTTGAACTTGTTTTAAAAAACAAAGGTAGAAGTACTTGCAGTATCACCCCACTCATGGCATTGCTCGCCCTCAGCTAATGCAGCCTATGTACCAACGTAAGCTGATCAGCAGCGGTAGTGTTGGTTCTTGGAAGAGTGAGCAGAGGCCGTTCATGGATGTGTGCGTAAATGTGGTCATACTGCCTGCGTTCAAAAGATATTTGTTCTCTGGTGAATCTCTGTGTGCCTGACAGAGGTGGCAGGAGAAAGTAGGTCGTGAGTAATTGCCCAAGAACTGGAGGGTCTTTTCTGTTTCTCCTATAGTTGGCAACTGCAGCTTCATCGTGGTGTGAATGCATTTTCAGTATTTCCGAATTGCTGCTTTCCTGGGCCACCTCTCTTCTAGGAGCTCCTTGGGGCCAAGGACCCAGTCTTTTTCTTTGGTTTGCTCTGCTTCCCTCCCTGCTGCATGTGCTGCCTGGTCCAGAAAGAATGGGCTCTCCCAATTAACCATAAAAGCATCTGGGCATGTCATGCAGGCTCTGATTTCTGCTCTGGTTCCAAACAAAAGCATGCAGTTCCTAGGGTTGCAGTAGCCAAGGTCAAGTTTTCCCTTCTTTCCCCCTTCTTTCTTTCCAACGTGGCTCCAAAAAAGCACATCTGTTAGGCCCATAGAAACAGTTAGGATAAAAAATGAGGTGTCTATTTGACGATTATATAGGTGGATCTCAAATACATGAATCCTGCTTTCAGCACTAATTTTTGTTTTGGATTATTCCTTTGGTTCTCAAATAGTATTTCCAAGGTGTAAATCCACATTGATTCCAATAGACTGCCATCTGATTTTATAATTTTACATGACTTTTTAACATTTAAACTATTGTTTACAGAATTTTTTTTTAATGTACATCATATTGCAATAAGTAAAAGAGTGGAGGTGGGCCAGTGCATCTGTTTCATCATCACCATGCTCACCTTCAGCCATTTGGTGATTTGTTGGGTGTTTCTTTAATGATAAAAGTGCAATAGCTTTGTCTGTTAAGATTAGGCAAATGAACTCTCTTTCTATGGAAACCTGAACACTGAGGCGATGGCGTGTTTGACGGGCATGACATTCACAAGCAGAGCGGATGCACCGTGCCGTCCTGAAGCCAACAGCGTTACCCCCACAGGCGACAGGGCCGGCTTGGTTTTGTTGGCCTGTGGAGGCCCACATCGGCTTGTCGCTCGTAAGCCCGAACAACATTACATTTTCAGGAATACCTTTATCGGGACACGATGGCGGCCAAGGAAACCACTGACAAAACGTTTGGAGGGGGGTGGCGAGTACACTTCGCCATGCGGCCAGCATGTTTCCAGG